CTTCTGACTCTTGGATTGTGGCACTGATTTTTTTTTTCTTGAGCTTGTTCTCAGGGTTTTGCTTGAAAATCTGAGTTTGCAGGAATTACCATCAATGGATTCCACCTTATTTTTTAATCTTATATGAGTAAATATAATACAGCAATGGCAGCAATGGTTTGTTTTATTTTGCCTTAAGGTTTAAATACATTTTACATACATCATTATTTCATTTGATTCTCACAATAATCCTATCAAGTAGGTGTTATTATCATCTGAATTTTATAGATGAGGAGAAGGAGACTGAGAGAGGTTAAATGCTTTGCCCAGGGACACAAAGCTAGTAGGTACATGGAAGTGAGATTTCAGCCCATGTGTTCCTGAAACTGAGGCCAGCCCCCATCAATCACCCTGGCTGCTTTCATGTGACTGATATGCATTCTTATATGTTGTTCAATCATTTTCAGTCATGTCTGACTCTTTATGACCCCATTTGGAGTCATGAAACCACATAATAGAGTGGTTTGCCATTTCCTTCTCCAATTCACTTTACAGATGAGGAAACTGAGGCAAATAGGGTTAAACAACATGCCCAGGGTCACCTAGCTAGTCTGAGATCAGATTTGACCTGAGGAAGATGAGTCTTCCTGACACCAGGCCCAATGCTCTATCCATTGTACCAGGAGCTAACCCTCTTTCTTATATACACTATGTATAACAATGTATTTGTGCTCCTTGGGATTTTGCAAGAGTTGGGGACAAGAGTCTTCAAAATTAATCTGCCACATTGTGAGATGCAGTGCAAAGTTTGTGTGAAGAGCTGCATGATTGCCTGGTTGTTAAAGCCCTTGCAGGACACAAAACCATCACATTTTCTGTTCTTTTCCCCATGGACAAACTTTTTTGAAATGTGTTTTTGGGGTCAAAGAAAGGGAAATTTACTGCAGAAATCGAAAATTGCCGTAGCTATTTTCCAAAAAGCATTTTTAAAAGCTCATTTTCTACCATCAAGTTTCAAGGTACTTTCTAGCTCCCTACTAAAACAGAGCAATCAACCCTCAAATGTGTACCAGCCTTTGCTAAACTCACTTGACTTGGCCTCAAGTTCCATGATAAGCTGAAACCTATGACTCTGATTATGCCCATTCAGGAAGGCATTTAAATGGAAATAAGATGAGTCAATATGGTAAAGCAGAAGGAGTGCTGCATTTGAAGTCAGAGTAGCTGAGTTTAAATTCCTGCTCTGCCACTGTGGCACTGTCTGCCATATGTGTGACTGTGGTCAAGTCACTTCACATATTTAGGACTCAGTGGATCCCCCAAACCCTAATTCATTATGTATAATCAACTTCTTGAAGAATTTCACCATAATTGATTAAGGGCTTTAGATGATATTATCATTAAGGTCTGTAACATATGATTATGAGCATGGGGTTCCATTTCATTAGGCTGAGGATCTGAGGTTAATTCCTACCAGTTTAAAGATAAAAATTAACCTGGTGAAAAGTTTGTTTGTTTTTAATGTCATTATTTATTGAGCCAGAGAGGGTAACTATTTCTAGTATCAGTAGCACCTAAAAATGTTGTAGGAGACAATTTTTTTTATTAGAGACATATATTTATTGTAAACAAAAGTAATGGAAGGGTTAAACTCAAGACATATGAACCTGAAGTCCTGGGGGGAATCAAGATAATCAGAACACATCATTTTACTGAAGCCAATGTTATTCAGTGACAATTAGCTAGTGCTGTTTCTGTGCCTGATTCTCACCATATGCCTAATGAGGTAAAGGGATAATTTTCTACAGAGAAATTTTCAAATTGTCAAACACCAGGGGATATTTGGATAAATTAGGTTATGGTTTCAGAGATATAAAAAGGATTTTGACCATTCCTTCTGAATGGCTCTAGCTTGATTAATAGAAATCAGTGGTTGAGAACTTTGAAGTCGAGCCATACATATTACTTATTAGTTGGGACCCAAAACATAAAGAATAATGTCAAAATGGAAAGAGGAAACATAACATTGATCAGGAATAAGATTCAGGATACTAGATTATGAATAAAGATGGAAATTTCAAGATCAAAGGAGAAGTAAAGCAGAAGATTGTGTAGTGATACTCCAAGGTTGCAGTTGCAAAGTAGATTGAATTGCCAGCTCTAAGGAGAGATCTAAGGAAATCTAAGGAGAGTTCACCTCAGTACTTCCACTGCACCTTTTGTGCTTCCCACCCCCCCCCTTTTTTTTTTTTGCCTAATTGCTAACTCCAGCATTCCTAGCCAAATGGATCTTGTTGAAACTTGACACATTCTGACCAACTCAGCTTCTAGAAGAATTTCAATATTCTTGATAAATACTACTGGTAGCCAGTGATCAAATGGAAATTATTTACATCAGTCAGGCAAGAACTAGGAATTCCCTTTAGGGAAAGGGATATGCAACATTATAGAATATTTTCAAGGACTCTTGATTGGCAATCAGGAAACTGTGTGAGCTCGAGCAAATCAAAGACTCATCAAACTGGAATTGGAAGGAACTTTAAAGTTAATCTGGTCCAGCTCTGTGCTGTGAAGAGCGCCATATTCACTAAACTGGTTGCTACCAAGCTGGAACTATTTCAAAGTTCTAGCCATTTCTAGTCCAGTTAGGCTCCTATAAACCGCATGAATCATTTAACTTCTTCTCACTCTATTTCTTTATCTATACACTGAGAAAATTGGAGTAGATTTCCTCTGATATTCTATCTAATAGTAAAATTATGCAATTTTGTGAGATCTTGGAATTGCTTTAGTATCCATTGCCTCCACTTCAATTACTGAATACTCTCAGGGAGGCAATATGGACCAGTAGATTGGAACTGACTTTTAGTCTTGGTTTTGCTGGGTGATTTCAGATATGTTGCTTGATTTCTGCATGAATAGAGGAAGTAAGCCAAATATTTTTTTTTCAGGTAAAATTGTGTGATTGTAGTACATGTTGCTCAAGACAGGAATGCCTCCATATAAACCTCCCTAAACGCATTCATAACCTAAATGACCATATACTTATTTCCCTTTATTAGAAATACTTTACATTCTTAGAGGGAATCTTGATCAATATTTAAAATGGGCATAAAGAAAACAGATCATAGAGTCACAGGTTTAGAACTGGAAGGATATTAAAGGTCATCTAGTTGAAATCACACATTTTACAGTAAGGAAACAAAGGGCCCAACATTTTAAATTATTTGCCCAAGGAAATGAGCTAGGACAAGTCTCTAAAGCTGCCAGTTTCCATTTTATCTGACAAAGGCTAATGAGTAAGGGAACTATAAGAATCAATGATAATCATTACTGTGTGATAAACATTTAAAAAAATGAAAGAACAAAACTATACTTTCCAGGATTTTTTTTTAAGAAAAAGATTAAACATAGAGAAGGAAAGTTGTACTAAGATCCATTTCAGGCAAGAGAAAAAACAATGATCCAAGACTGATTTTTTTTCTCATTTCTTTTTTTTTAATTAAATTAAATTAAATGTAATTTAATTAATTTATTTTGATTTATCAACAATCACTTCCATATGCTTTTGAGTTTAAAATTTTTCTCCCCCTCCCTCCCCTCCACCCTCCCCAAGATGGCACACAATCTGATGTAGGCTATACATATACATTCCTATTAAACATATTTTCTCATTAGTGATGTTGTAAGTAAGAATTAGAACCAGTAGGAGGAACCACCAGAAAGAGGAAACAAAACTCAACAGAAGGAAAAAAATAGCAAATAGTGTGCTTCAATTTGCATTCAAACTCCATAGTTCTTTCTTTGGATGTGAATAGCATTTTCCATCATGAGACCTTTGGAGATGTCTTAGATCCTTGTATTGCTGGGAAGGATTAACTTTATCAATAATAGATCGCAAAGTGTGGCTGTTATTGTGTACAACATACTCCTGCTTCTGTTCTCTTCACTCAGCTTCAGATCATACAAGTCTTTCCAAGTTTTTCTGAAATCAGCCTGTTTGTCATTTCTTATAGCACAATAGTATTCCATCATATTCATATACCACAACTTGTTCAGCCATTCCCTAATTGATGGGCATCCTCTCAATTTCCAATTCTTTGCCACCACAAAAGAGCTGCTATAAATATTTTTGTACATGTGGGTCCTTTTCCCATTTGCATGATCTCTTTGGGTTATAGCCCTAGAAGTGCTATTGCTAGGCCAAAGGGTATGCATATTTTGATAGCCCTTTGGGCATAGTTCCACATTGCTCTTCAAAGTAGTTGGATCATTTCATAACTCCACCAAAATGCATTAATGTTCCAATTTTCCCACATCTTCTCCAACATTTATCATTTTCTTGTTTTGTCATGTTGGCCAATCTGATAGGTGTGATGTGATACCTCAGAGTTGTTTTGATTGGCATTTCTCTAATCAATAGTGATTTAGAGCATTTTTCATAGGACAATAGATGGCTTTAATTTCTTTATCTGAGAACTGCCTGTTCATATCCTTTGACCATTTATCAATTGGGGAACCAAGACTGATTAAAAACTGTCCATACTTGTCTGAAATGAGCCATTAGAGTTATTGGAAGTCGGATTTGTACTGTTGGCAATGAGGTAGTTATTGAGATAGCAGATCTCTTTACAGGATAGGGGAAATGATCTTTAATCTAGCATTAGTGCCAACTATTTAAATTGATATCTGTATGTGCAGATGTTCTTGTGTTTTGTGTAGTTGTAATCCCTGAAAACTCTCTGTCTTTCAGAAAAACTGTTAGTAAAAAGGAAAATCTGCTTGTATTTGGAAACTGGTCATATATTTTAAGATTTAAGTTTTCAAGCTTTCTCAGATTCTTAGATTGCTAATGAAGTGTGAAAGGGTTGCCCTTCATTTCTGTTTTGCCTTTTCTCCTTCCTGCCCACTTGCCTTCAGCTTCAGAGAACATATTGAAAAGCAGGCTACCGAAAAGTTTCTGGTGTCAACCTTGAAAATGGTTAAAAATAAAAGACGTTTTCTGTATTTATGTTTTTTAGGACAAATGACACTGGCCTTCTTTCCTTCAAAGACCACTTGCCTGTCACCCAGATAGTTATCACTGATACCAACAGATCAAACTCAGAAGCTGCCTGGAGAATTGGCCCATTACGTTGCTATGGCGACCGTGAGTAATAAACCAAAAAACACTTTTTGTTCATATTATATAAGATGCTTCACCACCTTCATATGCTCACTCTCCCTTTCTTTCCTAGGCCCTCCACAGCTCTGAACCATTACCTGCTTTACTTGCCTAGTGTCCCTCAAACCCCCTTCCATGATAAAGAACCCTGGTAAAGGATATTCTAATTCTTTCCATGCAACCACTGCTTTCCATACCAATGAAGGATGTTTGTTTCCTCCCCCAGGGCATTTTTGGAATGCAGCCTCATTTAATACAGAAGCCTCTTACCTTCAATTCCCCACCTTTCATGCAGAGTTCAGTGCTGATATTTCATTCTTTTTCAAAACCACGGCTTTATCTGGCATCTTCTTGGAAAATCTTGGCATTAAAGACTTCATTCGACTGGAAATAAGCTGTAAGTGACTATGTTTAGGAATCTGACATATATGACACACCTGAATGGGGGATGACATGCAGACTTGATTAACTACTACCTCTGTTAACTTTAGTCAGACAGCTTAACTCTCTGGGCTTTCAATTCCTTCATCTGTAGAAAAAGGGAATTGAACTACACTGCCTATAAGATCTCTTCTAGCTCTAAAATTCTATGATTCTATGATAAACATCACCTCCCGCTAACAAAACCCCACTAGATTATTTCATTTTATGAGATCCTTTGAGAAAGCATTCCAACCAAGAGTACCAGCTATTCACTTTCATAGGTCTTGCTCACCTTTTCAAAGTGATGTTGTAAAGCTGTGCTCCATGGTGTTCCTACTCCTATGGTAGGATGCCTTAATGTAGATTGCAGATAACTGTATTCTTGGAGACTGTCACAGAAGAATGACAACCTTCAACAATGGCAGGTCCTGTTAAGGGAGAAAAAAAAAATTAAGTATATGCCTGACAATTTACTTTCTGTCTCTTATCTGAGGACCAGGCTCAATGAGGTCTCAAAGAATACTTTTAAGCCAAAATTACATGGAGGTTACCATGAAAAATCAGTATAGATGATGAAACTGTCCACCATCAGAGAAATCACAGATCTTTTGAATTCTAAATAAAGATTAGTTTTGTTTATTATTTTGATTGTTTCAGTTTTGGCCTTGTGGTCTTATACTTGTCTCAAAAACAGACTGCCTGATTTATTTTCTAGCATCATGGACATGTTACTAGAGGGTCAGGTCTGCAGCTCATGGCCGTCACCCCATCAGTCCTTGCCTATTTAGTTACAGCCTTGTTTGCAGGGAGCTATTGCTACCTCACCTTTGTACCCTCTTGCTTGTAAATAGATATTCCTTCTATTTCTAGCACCCAGTTCAATGCCCTTACACAGTCAGACTGAATTAATTGACTGGATTGCATCAATGACCTAATTGCATAAAATACCCTTGACAGTGTAAATAGTGTTTAAGCAAAATATACTTTGAAATTTGAGAGTCTAGTCCCCCATCCTCCACCCCGAAAGAGCAGATGGAAGGTCTTGCCTAAGAAGACTACTTCTGAGGATTCCATAGGGCATTTCCTAAATAGAGAGATGCTAAGTGGCTCTATTGCAATCTCAACACAATGCACATAAGGAAAGAGATCTCCTTAATTGGTAGCTTTAAACTCCTTTCACTCCAATGATTTCAGGTATTAATGGAAGGAAGCAATTGTGGTTTTGGATGTGAAATAGGATCCTTCATTCTCAACTCTACTGGGCACTGAAAATGTGGAATTGAGGACTAACCATTTCATAATATGGTCATAATAACCTTAGCATAAAATTTAATAAAATCATGCCCCACAGCCTTTTGATTTATTAACACAGTGGTAAATGTCATGGTGCATTATCACAAGGTAATGAGATATGATTTAGTGTTAATTGCACATCTAAGTCCAATTTGTTTGTACTTTGTGATATTGTTCTTCATTCTTAGTATGGTTAAAAAATGCAAGTTAACATTAAATGTGGCAGAACATTGAAATTCACTGAGATAATTGTTTAGTAGAAGCATATTAGCATACTATAGAACAAATACTTTTAAAACAAGTATAAATGTAAATATTGGGAAGTTTCAAGATCCCTCTGCTTTCTACTCCCCTTCCCCCAAGTCTTGGGTTCCTCTTTAGCATATCATCATATTGCATCTTGCAGCCAGATGGAATTTTCTGCCTAAAGGGTTCATAGCAAGGAACCTCAACAGACCAGCTGTTTGGGAAGGAAATGGCCTTTTAACAGATGCAGAGACTCAGAATAGAATTTTTCCCCTATCCCTATGGAGTGTTCCTCCCTTAACAATCTGAGCAATAGCTTCCAAGCTTGATACATCCAATTTGTTGGACAGGAAACAACAGGTTTCTATGAATTTTTCAATCCATTGACTTCTGGGTCACTTCCAACTAGCACATTTGGATTTAGCAGTCTTGGGATTATTGAGTATGTTATGAAAAAAGGAGACATTTCAGTATGTCCTCAAGCCTTAATTGATTTTTTTTTTTGCAGTAGCAAAGAGAATCTAATTATTTGTCAAAAAAAGTCATTTATTTTGGCAACTTGCTTAACTACAGTTGTGAATATATTTTGATAAGTATATTTGATAAGTATAAAGAGCTTGAGACTTTTTTTTTTGATTGAGTTGTAATTCTGCTATTGAATGTCCCTGAACTATCAGAGGATAGACTTAGCTATGAATCTTTCTGTCTTTCTAAATTGCTGTTCAGCATATGTAGTGACTATCTAATTATCTCATGGGATATAAGGATGTATGTATAGAGAGTATAAGCTGAAAGGGAAAAAAGGAACACATCCAATATACTGTCTGTCAGCCTATAGATATATACAATCACTCACTCAACAAGCATTTCTTAAATGACAGGTACTGTTCGAGGCAAGTGAGATAGAAAGACAAAAAAGAAGCAGTCCCTGCTCACATTCTGTCTATGTTATTGGTAGACTGACATACTTAAGCTTCTAGACATCAGAGTCAGTGATGCTGGACAACATGCTGAATTTGACATTAGCCTAGATGTACATTTTCTTAATATAGACATAGAATAAAGTTTCAGAACAAGAAGGATCTTTAGAGATTATCTAATCTAATATTTTCATTTTCTAACTTATTAAACCCAAGGACTTTTGGGTTATATGATTTTCCCAACTTCACCTAGTGAGTTGGTGGTTCAGTTTATATTAGAATCTAAATTTCCAGCCTACAAGTAAATAGGTCTCCTCATTTTTATCAGTGCCTCTTTAAGATCTATAGTTATAACTTTTTGATCATCTACCAGTTAAATAGAAAACAAACTCCTCTATTCATAGATTCAAAGAATATTAGACCTTGAAGAGACCTTTGAGGACAGCAAATCTAACCCATTTATATTACAGATGAATAAACTACAGTCAATAAATCACCAGATACAGAGGTATATAGGACTTCAGTTAAATGACTCACTCAAAACATAGAACTGGTTATAGCTTGAATGGTGATATCACATCATTTGGTCAATACATATTTATTAACTATCATATATCTGTCTACTATATCTATCAATCTATATCTAGAGAGTGTTCTGTTATAGGTGGTATAAATAGGTGGGGGGGTTTTGAAACAATTAAAAACTATTTGATAGCTATTTCATGCCTATTAAACTTAACTTCCCCAAAGCCTATAAGTTTCTTGAGTGCAAAGATGTCTTACTCATTTGGGGCTGGGGGTTCCTCCTCAGTGCCAAGCACAGGCCAATAAATAATTGTTAAGTTGATTTAATATAAGATGAGGTTTTTATGCTTGAGTATCTTATGTGCTAGTTTCAGAGAGAATGAATTCCTGATGACTATCTTCATCATAATAAAGAATAAAGTAAATGCATAGGTTTTGATATAAATGGGGAAAGGGAAGCAAAGAAAACTTAATACTACCAAATGTATCTTTGCAGAGATGTGTTTTGCAAATTCTTGACCAGTTATCCCACACTTGTTTTTACCACTTGATCTCATGTAGAAGTGTTAGTCCTATGGACATTCATTATTAATTGTTTGATTGAAGCCTAGAAGTTCAGCACAGGTTACCAACATCCTGAAGAGCAAATACAATAGAAGTGATATAGGTCACTTTCAGTTTTCATGAAAATCCACATTTGTAAACCATCCATTTTCATTTATCCAGGTTTAATTTCTTTCACGTTTGGGTTTGTGAGTACATGATGATTTACCTGGGTCAATAAGACCCTAAATAAAAGTAGTGATGTAGTTCACATTTGGCAGAAAAATTATGTTACCCAAGTTTTTTTGTTTTGTTTTATCTTGTTTCATTTTGTTTTGTTTTCAAATTAAGACTTGGTACCTTTGAAAAGCAGTGCACTGAGTACTTCTTGCTCCAAGGGTTAAGGGAAGGAGAGAAGACATTGAAACAAAAGTTTTAGCTTTCCTCCTGATTTAGACACAGGAATTAATATTATCAACCATGCCACAAATTCATCTTTGAATACAATGTTGTATAATGGTATCTAGCTAGAGGCAAGGAAAGAGGCCCAAGGAAAGGGGGAAAAGATATTTATGGGTAAGGAAGGTGCATAAGGGAGTGGGTTGTAGAGACTCCAGGTATATGACTGAAGAAACACCATCTCTTCCCTTTTCACTTTTTTCTAAAACAAAAAAATGAAATTATTTCACTAATCTCTCTCACTATCTCTCTCTATCTCCCTCTCTCAAAGTATAGATGCCACTCACTCCCTGATCTAACTCCAGATCAGATTGAAGGCTTTTGCCTAATCAGTTTCTGATGCCAGCCATTTCACCTCTTTTTGGGCAACCTGGTGTCTGCCCCTCCTCCCACCCTTGGGGCCTCACCATAGAGGTGTTAGACTTCCTAGGGACATGATTTGTTCTACACCTGCACAGTTCTGAGCTCCTGAGCTCAAGTGATCCACCATCCTTAACCTCCCCAGTAGCAGAGGCAACAGACATGCACCACCTGGCTCCACTCAGTTTAATTAGAAAGGAGAGAGGGAATAATCTAGTTTGTACAATATAGAAGAAAATTCAGCCAAACACACACATATACAACCTACTTTCTCTCTTCTTACTGGATTCCATAGTACCTTGATTGCTGTAGATATTATTAATATTACAGGTGTTATAGAAAGAGCAACTAACTTGGAGTCAAAAGGCCCACTTTGAATTCTGTCTCACTCACTTAAATTGTGTCCTTGGACAAGTCCCTTTACCACCTCCAAATCTCAGTGCCCTCATTTCTGCATTGAAGGTATTGAACCTGTTGATCACCGAGGTCTCCTCCAAGCTCTGAGATTTTGTGAATTTTAGGGGGGAGAAAATGCTGGAGAACCCTAGAGTAGATTCTTCATTATCCGATATCTTTTTTTGCTTTTCTCTTCTAATTTGTGCTTAGGAACCTGTTCAATAAAATGTTAACTTCAATATACTTGGCCTTACTTTTTTTTCTCTGCCAATAATAGTAATAATAATAATGATTATGATACTAATAATAGTGATAATTATAATAAATTTGCTTAAAAGGAAAGTGCTTACCTATTTAAAAAGGAGTAGAAAGCCAAGAATTAGATGATAAAACTTGGCCCAGGTGATGTTCTAGCATCCAAAGGCACAGAAAGAATTGGCAGATGAGATTGCTAATCTACTATTAGTAATTTATTTTTTAAAGTTTGAAGATAAAAGTAGCTCGGTGGTGCAGTGGATAGAGCATGAGCCCTGGAGTCAGGAGGACCTGAGTTCAAAGCTGGCCTCAGACACTTGGCACTTTCTATCTGGGCAAATCACTTAACCCTATTGCTTAGCAATAATAATAATAATAATAATAATAATAAAGATTGAAGATAATAAAACAGGGGTTATAGGGCTGAAGAAGACTAAACTTATAATAATATTTATAAGGTTAAAGATTTAGAGTCATAAGTGACCTAAGAAAGCCACCTAGTGTAATCCCCTTATTTTACAGATGAGGAAACAGAGGCCTCAAGAAGTTAAGTACCTTGCCTATGGTTACACAAGTAATAAGTAGTGGAGGTGGATTTTAACACACGTCTTCTCATTCCAAAACCAGTGTTTTTGTTTACTATACTACCCTGGCCCTGCAAGGGAAGAGGGCATTCTCTATAAACTATAGAAAAATGAGCTAGGCTTCAATTCCTGGTAAAACTCTGCAATATATTACAAAATAGATGTTTAGTGAGCATCTAGAAGAGAAAGTGGTGTTCATGAAAACCAGCAAAGTTTCAACAAGAAGAACTTATTTTAAAATAACTTTCCTACCTTATGATCAGATTATTAAATTAGTAGGTCTGATTTACCTGGATTTGAGCAAAGCATTGATAAAAGCATTCATGCCCTTCTTATGGAAATCATATAGAAAGATGACCCATAATATAGCATAATCATGTTTTTGGCAAGGCAACTGGGGATAAGTGACTTGCCTAGGGTCACATAGCTAATAAGTGTCAAATCTCTGGTCTGAGACTGGATTTGAGCTCAGGTCCTCCTGACTCCAAGGCCAGAGCTCTATCCACTGTGCCACCAGCTGCCCCCTTAATCACTTTTAAAATATGTTGAATTACTGGACCCAAAAATAATCATTAATTATCCAATAATAACTTTGAAGATGTATCCAACAGATTTCTTCAAGTTTCTGTGCTTATGCTTGTGCTGTTTAACATTTTTCCAGTGTTTTGGATAAAGGCATGAATTATATTCTTATTAGATTTTAAGATTCAATAAAGTCAGGAGGGATAGGTACCAAATTGGGCAATAAGGTCACAATTTTTGAAATATTTATTGAAAGATTATAACATTTGTCAAAATTTATAAAGATGAAATTTAATGAGAATGATTGTAAAATGTTAAACTTGGTTTAAAAATAAACAAAATAGAACAAAAAACTACTTTCATGAATACAAGATGGAGGAATGAATAGCCAGAAGTTCAGGTGAAAAGATCTGTGGTTTTTAGTGGATATGAAGCTTACTCTGAGTCCTAAGTGTTATGTGACCACCAGAAAGCTAATGAGAGCTTTATTAACATAGAGAGGCATAGTGATAACCCTACTACATCTTGCCCTAGTGAGACCAGACCTGAAGCATTGTTTCAGTTCCAAATTTTAGAAAGAACATCAGCATTCTTAACAGTGTCCAGAAGAGAGTGAACAAGCTTTTGACAAACTACCTTTTTAAATCATATAAAGTTTGATTGAAGTAACTGGGGAAGATTATCCTTAGGGCACACAGAGGAGGGATCAGATTTGCTATGTGTGGTCCCAGAGTATACAATGGGTGAATTTTTACAAAAAAGGAAAGTAAGAGAATATATGCTAACAATTAGAATTATGTAAAAATGGAATAGAAGTTGTGGTTTACATGTCACTAGAGTTCTTCAAGCAAAAGTTGGATAACCATGTGTCAGGGATATTATAAACTGGATTTTTCATCCCATATGAATATAACTAGATGGCCTGTGAATTCCCTTCCAGCTCTGAGATTTTGTTATTTAGCTGCACAGAAAGTCTTAAAAGAAACATCATAGTTTTCTTCAATTACTTAAATGACTACCATGTAGACAAATTAGACACATTCAGCTTAACCTCAGAGAGTAGACTTAAAAGCAATGGATAGGAACTACAGAAGCATATTTCAGAACAATGTAAGAAAAAAAAAACTTTTAGATAATGAAAGATGCCCTAAAGTGGAATGGGCTTCCACTGCTTCCAGAAGTAATGGAGGCCCCCTCTCCATGGGGTCTTCACGTAGATGCTAGCAGTATGACTTTGGACAAGTCATTGAACTTTTATCAGTCTCAGTCTCTTCATCTATAAAGTGAAAATAATAATAACACCTACCTTCAGAGGATTATTTTGAGTATCAAATGAGATAACATCTGTTTAGCACTTTGTGAAACTTTAAGAATGCAATGTAAAAGCTTGTTATTGTTTGATTCTGGATAATCACTTATTGATGATACTGTGAATGGAATTTCTGTTCGGAAATGGGTTGGAAAAGTTGACACCGAAGCCACTTCATATTATGAGGTGCTGTGATTCTCTGACATTCTTCTTTTTTATTTGATAAACAGATTATCCATGTGCCTTTTCATATACTGGTTATTCATGTACTCCAATAGCTTTTTCTAATGTTCCTCATTTTCTGTTCCAGCTCCTTCAGAAGTCACTTTTGCCATTGATGTTGGGAATGGCCCCATGGAGCTCACAGTTCTCTCTCCATCCCCCCTGAACGACAATCAATGGCATTATGTACGGGCTGAAAGAAATCTCAAACTGACTTTGCTCCAGGTGGATGACCTTCCAACAAAGATACTGGAGACACAAGAGGAGGGGCATTTTCGATTGCAGCTAAACAGTCATTTTTTTGTAGGTAGGGAACTTATTTCAAGAAATCATAAAATATCAGTATATGCTGTTCAATTTCCCAAGACCGTACTTATGACCACAAAGTATCAAAGCCCAAATCAAGAGAAATTTGACTTGTTCTGAGCCTCCTACCATATTCAACTAAACTTCAAAACACTTTTAAAAAATGAAAAGATCCAGTTCAATTCCCCCATCCAAGTGTCTTAGTGCATTATGTAAATCTGATCCAAATACAGGAATTATTTGACAATGTTGGGAAGTTAGTAAAGTGTATGTTCATAAGTCCAAGACTCTTCTTACATTCTTTTATCCTCATTTTTTTTTCACCATTCTTTCCTACTTAAACTTGGCCTCAGGAAAAGATCTATATATTTATTCATTCTCATCTCTATGTAAATAAGTTCAAGTGAATGTGTTACTTCTGCCAAAGGTACCTATCTCTTAAGTTCCCTTCTTTTTAGTTTGGGTTGTGGTAGATGGAGCTTGCTTTATGTGGGTTGAACTGGTCCATTAAGGGAACAAAAGTTTGCTTCTTTGCTGCCTGAGATCTAAAAGTCAGCATTTGGGGAATTAATAACTGAGTTGTTGTTGCGGTTGTTGTTGTTGTTGTTGTTGTTTGTTGTGGTTGTTTTGCAGAATTCCCACTGCCATATGGCAACCCATTTCTAATCTAGTGTAGCTGATTACTGTATTGATTGAGCTGATGGAAAGAAATATTGTTTTTCTTTTTCTAAGTTATGTTCCTTTTGAAATTTGAAAATTTCTTTTTAATGTAGTACACTTTATGGTCCACAAGTGTATGGCTCATTTTAAATTAATCCTGAATCTGAATCCCTAGACTAGCTTGATCAAAGCCTGGCCCAGAATATACAATGAAATTCTATGTCCCCAGTCATCCCTGTTATCTATGGTCCTGTATCTCTTCTGCCTTTTGTGACTAAACTCTTGAAAAGGCCATCTACAAGAGAGCCCTCCACTTTCTCTCCTATCACTTTATTTTTAACCCCTTAGTATCCAGATTTCAACTTCATAATTTTAACAAAACTATTCTCTCCAAATTTACCAGTGATACCTTAGATGCTAAATACAAAATTCTTTTCTGAACCCTCTTTCTCCTTGACCTTCTGCTGCCTTTGACACTATTAACATCACACTCTCTTCCTTTGTACTATCTTATCTCTGGGTTTTTGGGACGTCATTCTATCTTAGTTCTCCTATGTATCTGACTGCTCCTCAGTTTCCTTTGCTAGATCTTCATCCAGATTATACCCTCTAGCTGTTTGTGTCCCACAGAGTTCTTTCCTGGGCCCTCTTCTTTCCCTGACGCCTCTAACTATTTCACTAGATTTTTTCAACAGCTACGGTGAATTTAATTAAAATTTATATCCTGATGATTCTTAAATCTATCATGCTAGCCTCTCTGCTGACCTTCAGTCTCTCATCTCCAAGTGACTTTCAGACATCTGGATACCTTGTACACATCTTAAACTCAACACGTCCCTATGATGGAAACATCATCCTCACAGTCTCCCAGACTTATGTGTCATCCTATAAGTCATCCTCAATTTGTCAGTATCTCTTTTAATTAAAAAAAAATTGTTTTAAAGATGACTTGAAAAAAAATCACAGCCATTCCCCACTTACCCACTCAATTTCACGAGTCCTCCTTTGTAGGTATGGAAAGTAGTTAAGACAAAAACAAACAAACAGAAAAAATCAAGCAAAAAACCTAACAATGTTTCTGTATATTCACCATTCCATATGCATAGTTCTTTAACTCTCCAACAAAAGGAGGAAATTATATTTCTTTTTCTTCTCTGGAGCTACCATTGGCCATGGTAGTGACTCAGCATTTATTTTAGTGTTCTTTTGTGTGCATTACTGTAGTTTCTATGTATGTTGTTTTCCTGGTTCTACTTTCTTTATCCTCAATCCTACTCTTTCACCTGAGCTATGGTTCCATGTCATTGATTGCCTATTGAATATTTCATAATAGATGCCCTTAAGACTTTTCAAATATGATCATAACAGAGCTTGTTATCTTTTCCCCAAAACCTTTATTCTTCTAAACTTCTACATTAAAGTTGCAGGTACCGTTAGCTATGGGTATTGAAGCTTTGACTTTGTTGTCTTTTTCTGAGTGTGTGTTTTAATCTTTTTTGTCACTTTAGTAACTTTCTATGGTCAGAATAGTTTTCTGTTGTTTGCTCATTTTCCCTTTCTATTTCTTGATTTTGAAGTCTTTAAAAGTGGGACTTTTCTTCCAGAACGGAGGGCACACTATCCCAAGCTTCAAGGGTTTTGTGCAGCTGTTTTCAGGGATACTTCGAGGGACCTGTAAGTTTTTGGTTCTTCTAAGGTGGTATGATCTAAAGAGATGTGTATTTGCTACTGTCCTGGCCTATGCTCTGGTGTGTGAGTGACCCCAAAGCATTCTTTTCTGCGATGGAACTGTGACAAGGGTCCCTACTCCACCATAGTCCACAAACTTTGTTGTACTAGTGCTTTTCCTCACCCAGGACTGTGACCCAGATTTGAGGATGGGTAAAGCAACAGAGTTCTGCCTCAATGCCAGCAAAGAGACCCCTGTAATTTTGTTCTGATCAGTTGTTTAACTCCCTGACCATCTGTGGGCTGAAATTTATGGAAGCAGCTGCTGCTGATTCAGTGTCTTCTAAGGTCTGCTCCTAGTTTGTTGGGGCCAGGGCTGTGCTCCACTCTCACTCCAGTGTGACCAACCTTTCCTGCCAATTTTCTAAGTTGTCTTTGACTGGAAAATGATTTCACCCCATCCTTTTGTGGGTTCTGCCACTCCAGGAATTGTTTTATGGCATTATTTTTTTATTTTTTTCTTATTTTTAAAATTTATTTTTAGTTTTCAACATTCACTTCCACAAGATTTTGAGTTCCAAATTTTCTCCCCATCTCATCCCTCCTCCACCCCAAGATGGCATGCATTCTGAATATTCCTTCCTCTAATCTGCCCTCCCTTCTGTCTCTGCCCCCTTCTCTTATCCCCTTCCCCTTCTATTTTCCTATAGGGCAGGATAGATTTCTATACCCCATTTCCCATATTTCTTATTTCCTGGTTGCATGTGAAAACAATTTGAACATTTGTTTTTAAACTTTGGGTTCCAAATTTTCTCTCTTCCTCCTTCCCCAATCACCCTCATTGAAAAGGCAAGCAACTTGATACAGGTTATACATGTGTAGTCATGCAAAACACTTCCATAGTAGTCATGTGAAAAACAAAGTATATTTCCCTTCATCCTATCCCATCTACCATTTATTCTATTCTCTCTTTTGACTTTGTCCCTCCTCAGAAGTGTTTGCTTCTGATTGCCCCCTCCCCCAATCTGCCCTCCCCTCTATCATCCCCCTGCTCTCTTGTCCCCTCCCCCTCCCCATTTTCCTGTAGGGTAAGATAGATTCCCATACCCAATTGAGTGTGTATGTTATTCCTTCCTTAAGCCAAATCCTATGAGAAGAAGATTCACTCATTCTCTCTCACCTTCCCCAACTTCCCCTCCATGGTAAAAGCCTTTACTTGTCTGTTTTTTGTGAGATAATTTACCCCATTCTACCTCTCCCTTTCTCCTTCTCCCAGTATAATTCTCTCTCACCTCTTAATTTTATTCTCCAGATATCACCCATTCATCTTCAACTCACCCTGTGCCCTCTATCTCTCTATCTATCTATATACATATAATTTTTCCCTCCAACTATCCTAATACTGACAAAGGTCTCATGAGTTACAAATATCATCTTTCCATGCAATAATGTAAACAATTCAGCCTTAATAATTTCCTTATGATTTCTCTTTCCTGTTTACCCTTTCATTCTTCTCTTGAGTCTTGAATTTGAAAGTCAAATTTTCTATTCAACTCTGGTCTTTTTATCAACAATGCTTGAAAGTCCTCTATGTCACTGCATGTCCATTTTTTCTCCTGAAGGATTATGCTCAGTTTTTCTGGGTAGGTGATTCTTGGTTATAATCCTATCTCCTTTGCCCTCTGGAATATTATATTCCAAGCTTTCTGGTCTGATAATGTAGCTTGTGTTATCCTGATTGTGTTTCCACAATACTTGAATTGTTTCTTTCTGGCTGTTTGCAATATTTTCTACATGACCTGAGGACTCTAGAATTTGGCTACAATATTCCTAGGAGTTTTCCTTTGGGGATCTCTTTCAGGAGTTGATCACTGGATTCTTCCACTTTCTATTTTGCCCTCTGTATGGCATTATTTAAAGGTGTTCTGAGGGTTTGGGAGAGAGCTTAGGCCAGTTATTGCCTTTTCTCCACTGTCTAGGCTTTGCCCCATCACCCCAGTACCTTTTACTCCCTGACCTTTCTCCCATATCCAGTCTATTCCCAAAACTTTTCACCTTTGCATCATCTCTTGATTATGTCCCCTGCTCTCCTTTGACACTGCCATCATTCTAGTTGAGACTTACATCACTTCAGTCCTGGACTATTGTAATAGCCTGCTGGTGGGTCTGCCTGTTTCAAGTCTCTTTCCACTCCAATTTATCCTCCATTCAGTCCAAATAATTTTCCCAAATTGCAGGTATGACCATGCCACACCACCCACCCACTCAATAATCTCCAGTGGCTCTCAATTACCCATGGGATCAAATACAAAATCCTTGGTTCATCATTCAAGGCCCTTCATAACCTAGTTCCCTCCTAACTATACAGTCTTCTTATATCTTACTCTATACCACATATTTTTCATTCCAATGACACTAGCCTCCTTTCTGTTCCATGAAAATGATTTTCCATATATATGAATTTGTTCATACATATTTGTTTGCTTGTTGTCTTTTCCATTAATTTGTGAACTCCTTAAGAGCAGTGATTGTCTTTTCCATCTTTTTTTTCATCTCCACAGATGAAAAAGAGTGTCTGGCACAAAGTAAGCTCTTAGTAATTTTTTTTTTGATTAATTGATTGTTGTAGTCATAAAAATTTAAGATAATAGTGAGAAGGTGGGGGAATTATCA